TGAAAATCAAAATCAGTAACACCTTAAAAATACCCACAAAATGACATCAACAAAACCATATTTACCAATAACAACACTGAATTCACCACTTAAAAGATTAGTAGAAGGGATTAAAAACATGAACCTTTAATATACTGCTGACAAAATACATATCTTAGATATAATGATAAACAACGACTAAAAATCAAAGGATAGAAAAACACCCCCCCCCATTCATTTCACTTTCTTCTCTAGCACCCATGGAAGTGATTCCAGAAGAGATGATATTTTAGGTCATAAAGCAAGCATCAGCAAATTAAAAAAAAACATTGAGAAGATGCAATCCATTATTTCACATCATAACAATGAAAAATTGGAAATCAACCATAGAATGCTCAACTCAAACCAAATACGTGGAAATTGAATAACACTTTTGTCGTGAATCAATGAATAATGGAAGAAACAAAGAACACAGTCAAAATTTCCCTTGAAACAACGGAGAACAAAATTATGACATGTCGAAATCTTTGAGACATGGCAAAAGCAGTTCTCAGAAGGCAGTTTATAAGCAATATCTCGACAGATTGGTAAGGCATAAAGCATTAAAACAAATACCTGAAAGCATCAACTACATTCAAAAACATTTAGTAAAATAAGCCATCAGATACTAGAAGAAAAAATAATTAGAGCAAAAATAAATGAATAATTTTTTTCACTATAGAAATAATCAATAAGACAAGAAGTTGATTCTTTGAAAACATTAGCAAAAGCGATATACCACTGGTTTGAGTAGTAGAGTAAATGTTCAATTTTGACATGTCTTGGGGTATGTGTAATCATTCAATAAGGATTCATCTGTTTTTACTCTAATAGACATTTTATTAGATCATTATGTCATTTAAATTCCGGAGCTTGAAGGAGAAAATGTATCATCCCAACTTCTCAATTTGAAATGTGTGTATTAATACCAGCAGATATCTTATCTATTTGAGCTTTATATCCTTCTTATTTCTGAAAGTAAAATATTGACACTAGCTTGGAGGTTTTGTAAAGGTGAGGATGATATGTATACTATTTTAATACTGTGCTGGTCATAGAATGAGCCTGCAAATAAATGTTATTATTTTATTATGCCGACTACCCTTACTGCCCAAGGAAAATGTGTAGATTACAATTGGGGGGCTCCTTTGCAGAAGCTCTAAACATCGAAGTTGAAAGCTTACACTTTTAACACCATAAAAGAGGTTTTTGTTCCCAACTTAATTTTTACAAAAATGGTTCTGTATTAAGTATCCCCACTAGTCATCATTTGAAGGGTCAAAGAGAATAGATGTTAGAGCAGAATTGTACTTCCACAAAGGACTTCTAGGAACATCTTGGTCTTCAATTAATATTTCACAATGGCCATTCATTATAGCAATTTTAAATAATATTAAAATGAGCATCAACCTAAATACCTAATTGAAGGATTTTGATAATAAATAATAGGCATCTCTATGATAGAGTTAATGTGAACTCATTAAAAATATTTACTGGAAGAGATCATGTTCTTGGTAAATTAGCTCAGTCTGTAGATGTTGAAACAGAAAATATAAATATCTAAATTGTACTGTTCTGCACAAATATTAGAAATGTATACTGAATTGTGGTACAAATATATATGTGTGTGTGTGTGTGTGTGTGTGTGTGTGTGCTTATACACACACACACATTATTGAGTTAATTCTGACTCAGAGATTCTATAGGACAGGGTAGAACTGCCCCCTGAGGAATAGAAAGCCTTACCTTTCTCCCATGGAACAGCTGGTAGTTTTGAACGGCTGACCTTGTAGCTAGCAGTCCAACTGGAGTAACCCACTACTCCACCAGATCTGTGAGTGAAACGTGCTTCTCTCGGCTGAATCTTTTGCCTTTTGAAATACGGGTGAAACGGCTTCCAGTGTCACATCAACACCATGTCACCGCAGTACAGCAAACTTACAGACTAGTGGTAGAGGATTCTAGCAGTTGAGTGCAATTCATTTGTGCCTCTTTTAGGTGCCATTGAGTCAGCTGTGAGCCATACTGACCCTTGGCCCACCAGAAGGAAACACTGCCCTGTACTGCACAGTACTGCCCTGTACTGACTGCCCTGTACTCTCAATGCTGCCTCCTCTGCTGCTGCTACCTGTCTGAGCAGGAATCTCAGGGTTCAAGAGACCTGCTCTTCTCATGACTCTTCTTTCATAACAGTCATGAGATCACTGCTGTCTACATCTGAAATGGTGCATTTGAACTTTGAAGGATAGCAAAATTAACTAATACTACAATCAACATCCTTAAACTCTACTTGCAGTTTTCTACTCAGTCATTTTCTGGGATTTACAAAAACAGCCATAACAAACAATACACATAATTTACAAAATGAGCCATAACGAATTTCACTTCACTGCAATGTCTTCCCACTCCTTAGAAAATTCTTCATCTTTTTCAAGTGTTGATTGCTAATGGGTGATTAATTTTTTGTCAGATGTGTGTGCAATTTTGAAGCAGTTTTCAATAACCTTAACATTACACTTATTATCAAGATTTAAGTTTTATAATTACCTTGATTATACCTGCCAAAGTTACTAATTCTGCTACTGTCATGCTGAAAGTGTAATTTCTGCTTAGTGTGTTTGCTTGTACTGGGACAAAATATGTAGATTAAGGGCACCTCTGCCATAATGCGCCCAATTGATTAATCATAGCCTAATAAATGAATAAATGGTATACATAATTTTCCAAGGAGAAACATTTTCCTAAAAACAAAACAAAAACAAAGTGATGTTCTTTGTATATTATTTAGAATGCATATTATTTAGAGCAGTGGTTCTCAACCTGTGGGTCGTGACCCCTTTGGGGGTTCACAGGGGTCACCTGATTCATAACAGAAGCAAAATTACTGTGATGAAGTAGAAATGGAAAATACTTCTTTTTTTTATACGTTGCCAAGATTTTTATTTTTATTTTTTTGCTTTTTTCTTGCATTCTTAATATTGTTTTTGTTTTTTTTTAACATTTTATTAGGGGCTCATACAACTGTTATCCCAATCCATACACACATCAATTGTGTAAAGCGCATTTGTACATCGTTTCTCAAAACATTTTCTCTCCATTTAAAACCCCGACATTAGGTCCTCATTTTTCCCCTCCCTCCCCGCTCCCCCCTCCCGCATGAGCCCTTGATAGTTTATAAATGGGTATTTTGTCATATCTTACCCTGTCCGACGTCTCCCTTCATTTATTGTTGGGGAGGGCTGCCACAACATAAGGGACTGTATTGAGGGGTTGCCCATTAGGAAGGTTGAGAACCACTGATTTAGATGATCCAACTCTCAATTTAGGATTCAAATGTGAAAAACTGAAAGTTGGTGACCGGAAATACCAGTGGGGACTAGTGAAGGAAATGGGAATGTGGTAGCAACGCAGCAAACTCACCTTCTTCATCTGCACACGCCCTAGGTCATTCCTGAAGGCCTATTCTCTGAGGGACATCTAGTCCCCGGAACTTCTTGGCCGGTTGTAAGGAGGGCAGAGCAGAGTCTGACAGCCAGAGGGAGCCCTGAGGCAATGAAATATAGATCCCAGTTGAGTTAGGGCACTTAGATTAATTGCTAACGTTTGCTTATTTAAAAAAATATAAGAGAAAAATCCATAGATATATCACACACACATTTATGGTAATTTCCTACTCTGCGCAAGGATCTGGAATAAAAATGAAAAAACGGACAAACAAAAAAATTCACTGCCATCCACTTGGTTCCCACTAATGGGGAGACCTGTCTGGCATAGCAGAACGTTCCCCAGGATTTCTGTCAATCTGTGCAGGTGCAGCCTGTCTCATATTTCTCAGATGAATACTTTGGTGAGCTTGCTCTGCTGACTTTGCGTTTAGAAATGCTTCATTTGCTGTGTGAGCAGAGCAGTCGTTAGTCAAGTTAAAAAGCTCTCTTGAACTTGTTGATGTCTCCTGACGACCTTCTCGAATGAATGAATGAATGAATGAATAGAAAGTTGAATTCCATGGGATTAAATGTCAAATACTATAAGCACATATTAATGTATTTTTAAACTCTCTTTGATGCTTTCTGTAATTTGTAGCTCATATTCCAGTCTGAACTTCTACCTAGGCACATTCCACCATCCTGAAACTGCTGACAGATATTTAGCTCCATGGGATTAAATTATCATGCTTATACTGGAGAATTACCTTTCTAAAAAGAAAGAAAGAAAAGTAACTACAGATAATGTTACAAAATGGACACACTAATTCTCTTAGCCATTCTTTAGCATAATGTGTCTACTGTGGGCAATGCTCAGTGGCTGTTCAGTTAAGTGGTTTTCTGTGGTAGTCTAGGAGTGGCCAAGGGTCTTAAACTAGTTAGTAGTAATGCATGGAGTCAGTGAGCAAAAAGTAAACATTTTTTAAACAAACAAAAAAGCATACTCCTTGCCATCAAGTTGATTCTGAGTCATAAGAACCTTAAAGGACAGAGTAAAAGTGCCCCTGTGGGCTTCTGAGTCTGAAACTATGAAAATAGAAAGCCTTGCCTTTATGACACAGACCAACAGGTGGCTGCACACTGCTAACTTGGAGGTTAATAGCCCAGAGCATAACAAACACACTACTAGGGCCAAATCAGAAATAGAATAGCTGCCCCAGCAGAATCACTACTTTAAGTAGTTCTTTAGAATGTGAGTGAAAGCAGAAAAGAAAACACCGTGGAAATGAACGAGTAAGGAATACTGCCGTGGGTCAGCAAGCGTTAAGGGCCAGGCCCCAATCCTGACACTTCAAGCAGGATCTAGCTATGTCTTCATTTGAGACTTCCGAGTAGGGTTCCTGGATGATGTCATGCTAACCAGACTAGAGAACACTGGTGTTCTCCTTAGGGAAGTTAAACTTCCTTCAAATCCAAATGAATCTTTAGTTGGATTGTACTTGATATATTATCCGGCTATATACATGTAAATATATTTTAACCTTCTTTCCCTATTAGTCTATGAAACAATGTTTACTAAGAGGGAAGATTGGCAAGGATTAGAAAGAAGTGAACTTCTTAAATACTTCAACGACTGTGGTCATTTTCCAACCCAGAAACAAATTGATACTGCTTGGGATCTGGTCCAAACCAGTGAGTAATTTCATCTTCCTTTTTTTTTGTCTCTTTCTTTTCATCTTCCTTTTTCTCCTACTTTACCTTCCCCACCATATTCTTCCCTCTTCGTACTTTTATCCTACTTTGCTTATAAGGTCTTCAATATTTTTCTGATGTTAATATATATGAAGGAATAGATATAAGGAAGTTATATAAAGAAAGTTAATTCAATAAATATACTTGGGGTAATGGAATTGGAAATGATTATAGCTTTTTATGGGAAGTGATAGATAGATAGATGATAGATAGATAGATAGATAGACAGACAGATGTATATAAAGCCATACAAAACCTATTGCTACCAAGTCCATTCTGACTTATGGTGATGCTATAGCACAGAGTAGAAGTGTCCCATAGAATTTTCAAGGTTCTAAATCTTTCTGGAGGCATACTGCTTGATATTTCTCCAGTGGAGGGGCTTGAGTTTAAACTGCTAATCTTTATCAGTTGAGTGCTTAACCGCTGTGCAACTGTGGTTCCCCATATATCAAACAAACCAACTCAACCCACTGCCATTGAGTTGATTCTTAGAGTGACTGTAAATGTCTACCAGATGCTGTACATCTTGGCACGAGCAGATGTTCTCAATGCTCTCCCGCAAAGTGGCTGGTGGGTGTGACGCACCAATGTGATGCTTAGCAACCCAAAGCTTACCAGAGAGTTCCCATTCTCCTGGTTCCTTATATATGTATAAAATAAGGTATGTCTAGTGGATTATATTTCAAACCAGTTTATTTTAAATAACAATCCTAAAAAGCTTTCTTTCAGACAGCAGTGAAGAATATAGCCAAGTTTACATGTTGGAAATTACATTTCACTATAATGGAATTTTACAGTTAGAAAATCACTCATTTTTGAACAGCAAGTAAATGAAAGGATATGTGTGGAAAATGTTTTTTAGTATGTTCACACTGAGCAACATTCCTCTCATTTTTAATAAACCAGTAAGAGAGTGAGAAGAGTGACATGGGTTTCAAATATCTCAGGGATTTAAAAATTATTATTATTCCTAAAGTATTTATCAACATTTCTTTCAATGTCTATATTAATGTTATGGCTTGCTGTCATGATTAGAAATGAGGGGTGCTGTGTGTACAATTTTATTGAGAAGATATTGAGAACAAATAGCAGAAGAAAATATTCCAGGACCATTTTATCTACCCTCAACAAAAAAAAAAGCTCATAGATCAGATGGAGAATGTGAGGAGGATCAGGGTCAGAGTTGGAAATGCTTCGCTATGTATTTGTTGGTTTCTACCTTAGCCAAGAAATAAAAACTTCGTTATGTGTTTGTTGATTTCTACCTTAAGCCAAGAAATGAAAACTCACTGCCTTCAAATCTATTAAGACTCCTGGCAACACCTAGCAGAACTTCCCCTGCAGGTTTGCTGAAACTTACTATTTATAGGAGTAGAAAGCCTCATTTTTCTCCCATGGAGTAGCTGATGGTTTCTAATTGCTGACTTTGTGGTTAGCAGGGCCTAACCAAAGCCTAGCCACTATGCCATGAAGGTCCTATTATCAGTTAACCTAAACTAACCTAGCTCACTGCCATCCGGTCAAAGCAGACTCATAGAACAAGGTATAAACTCCCTGGGAGTTTCCAAGATCGTGATTCTTTAGGGGAGTAGAAAGCCCCCACTTTCTCCTGGAGAGCAGCTGGTGGTTTTAATCAGCTGACTTAAACATTGTGAGGACGGCGCAGTGTGGGGCAGTGCTTTGTTCAGCTCTACATAGGATCACGTGGCGTCAAAACCTACAGGGCACCTAACAAGGACAGAGGAAGCAATATACTCGTTTGTGCAAATTTTACAGATGGGGGAACAACAAAGAAGAATCTTACTGCTTTTCAGTCGATTCTGATTCCTAGCAACCCTCTAGCACAGGGTTGTACTGGCTCTGTGAGTTTCTGAGAGTGTACCTCTATGGAAGTAAAAAAGCCTCTTCTCTCTCAAGCTTAGTGGCTAGTAGTTTCCCGATATTGGCTGTGCACCAACCGGCAGGCCATGAGTAAGCCGCTATATCCCCGGGCTCCGTACAGCTGAGGTCACTGAGGATTCGGGAATATTCTTTTCTAAGCCATCGGCAGGTCTTCAAGTAAACTCAATTCATTTCCATTTTGCTAGTTGTTGATACTTTTATCTTTATTTTTTTTAGTTCAAAAACAGATGAGAAAATTTATTAAGAAATTTTTTCAATCTTTCAAATTATCCTGAATGTGTTGGGACTGCTCTGGGGTCCCATCTGGTGTTGTGTGGTTTTTGCGGTTTTTTGATAAAAAAATCATTTAGAGGGGGCTCTGACAGCTCATAGAACATTCCATACATCAAGTGTCTCAAGCATATTTGTACATGTGTTGCCATCATCATTTTCTAAACATTTTCTTTCTATTTGAGCCCTTGATATCAGCTCCCCACCCTTTGTGACCCCTTGATAAATTATCAATTATTATTGTTTTCAAGTCTTACACTGACTGCTGCCTCCCTTCACCCACATTTCTGTGGTTCATTCCTCCCCACCCCCCCCACCCCGCGGCGGGGGGATTCTGTGTCAATCATTACAATCTGTTACCCCTTCATCTCCCTACCGCCCCCCTCCTGGTATCCTAATCCCAATTCTGTTCCTGAGGGGTTTATCTGACCTAGACACCATGTTTAGGAGCTCTTATCTGTACCAGTGCACACGCTTCTGTTTA